AATCTGAGCGCCAATTGACGGATAAACTCCCGCCAGCGGGATGCGATTTTGCCATAGAAACGGTTGTTTGAAGAGGTACCGGCTAGCGAGAACCTCGGGCGAGTTGCCTCGTCCATGGCCTCGCCGCCTCTCATAAAGAACAGTCAGAACCTAGTTGAAGTCGGACGAGTAAGGTGAGGAGGAAGGGCAGTAGATTTTCAAGTGCGAAAGCCTGGTGCTGGTGTTGGGGGCGGTGGGCCATAACAAGATGTCCAAGTCGCCTAATTTCCTGATTCCACCCAGAGAAAAGACTTCGTATCGAGAGTGCTGTGAGTATTCACTGCGGTGGGGATCTGGTCAGGATGTGATGCACCGAAGGATAGTCAGGAGACAGATCTGGTGATGGCGACAGGTAATACAGGCCAAGCAAGGGACTCGTCTCTCTGGGAGAGGTTGGGGACGGAAAACATCGCAGACGTCGATAAATATCACCATGGGTTAGAAAGATTAATGGCTGACATTTCGTCGACGACACCGGACGACAAGGCCAGGCCAGGCCAGGCCAGGCCGGGGTGGAAGGCTGTGGTGTCATTGCGGGCCAGGGGTGAGGCCTCGAGATGGACCAACGTGGGGCCAGTTGGTGTGAGGACTGGCCCAGCCGGCGCTCAGGCTAGGGTAAATCGGAGGAAAACGTGTGGCAGGCGAGAGGACCGCCCGCGAGTCACGATGGCGCTGAGGTCCGAACCGAGCTACTTGGTTGCATCATGTGGCGAGCCTCAAAAGAATCCTGGGCCTAGATCGTCCATCAGGAAGGCTTCACTTTTGCTGGTCGTCGTCGTGAGGCAGGGGGCAGGAGCGAGGGAGGAGCTCATCTCATTGCTCAAAGCATCCAGTTGGGGCGTCCCTTGCAAAGTAAAATAAACCTCCATTGTTATTCCCGGGCCAGGACAAGGACAGGCCCCAGAAAGAAACTATCAGACTCGTCACTTCATGGGGCAGCGTAATCAAAATTTATCATTCTGGAGAGAAACGATCCCAAGTCCCAAAACCCGGCCGCGATCTCCAAATGCCTGTGCCACACCTGCCACAAACTATTCACACGCTTATTTGGGCACTAACGGGCACCACAAAGAGCGTTGCGTGCGTCTAGAGCCGACATCTCTCTAGTCCTGACTGACACCACCGATCTAGAACGCGGCCAGGTCGTCACATGACTTGAGTGCCCGAAGGTTAGACAGTTCAGTCACTTTCTCGACGTTTACTATCCTGCCATTGCCTGCCCATTGTCCTGCTCGTATCCATCAACGTTCAATTGCTACCAAAGCACCTGAGGGTGACGCAAGTTGCTTTGCGGGTGTCCACTGAAAGACAAGGATCAGGCAGAGAAAGCTTGATTGGAGGACAGGGCTGTGCCCCGTCCGGAGAATCAACGAGTCAAGCCGGGAATACTGGCTGGAATCGGCTTTTCCTCCTAGCTCCACGCGACAGAAATCCACGCACGCAATTGCGTTCAGGGAACACTATCTACTTCATTGGCCACGTCAATCACATCAGAAGGGGACACTAGATGAATAAAACTCTGTTTGTATGAATATATATTTGATGGATGAAGCTACTCCTGAAAACTCAGCCCATTGTAGGGGCCAGCCTTCGTTTTCGTCTTCAGTCAAATTGTGATACAGAACCTCATTCTAGAGGCCAAAAAAAAAAAGTTATAACTGTGACAGTGTCAGCATTATAGAGGTACCATAGGGTAAATATGGGTGGATTGGAAGATACTAGCATCTCCATGGGCAGCTGGACATCTCTAGGGGTATTGGCATCACTTCACGGACAGACAGCACCCAAAAGATGACAAAAGATAGCATGGGCCAAGAGAGAGAGAGCATTGTCATCCTACTCGCTGCCTAATCGCTATCAAGTTCACAATCTGCGCGCGTTATCCCGTGCCAATGACCTCCCATGAGTCGTTAGCAATCCAATCTTCCATGCGGAGTTTGCACCTGACGCCAAACCAAGACTTGAATACCAAAGTCAAACCCTTTCGTCCCTGTCCAACCACAGCAGGGAAACAGAAAAGCAAAAAAAGAGGGAGGGATAGGAAAACCCTTCAAATCGTAGCCAAACTCAAGACTGTCTCGGTGCTCAGATCCCTTCTTGTCTTTTTAATGTGTTTGATTTTTTAGATATTCTTCCGCTAGCAGAAGCGCTGGGGTCGGGTTGTCTTGTATTAAATGCACAACTGGCATCAATTTTCAGTCGTTAACGTAAAGCAGCGCAAGAAAGTCAGCTTTTTTTTGTGGCGATACACAGCAGTATCGATTCCATCAGCGTTGATGATGTTTTTGTTCTTCTTCTTCGGGGATGGCGTTGAGAGTGAACTCAATGTTTCCGGTATGAGAGACTGGCACTCCTCGCTTACAAGCGCTCTACGCTTGGACTTGCGGGATGTTGTCCATGCTCATACCTTCTTTGAGCCACTCCTCCTTGACAACTTCATTTCGAACGGCAAAGAGAAATCTGTACGCCGTTTTGACGGTGCCGTCGCTGACACCAGCTTGCTTGGCAATCGGCTGAGAAGCACGGGGTTCTCCAACCAGATGGCATGCCATATAGATACAGGCGGCTGCAACAGAAAGCGGGGATCGGCCAGAAAGATTCTGGTTCTTGGCCATGCCTTGCTCCGCCAGTTCACGAGCGATCTTGGCGATCTTCTGCTGGTTCTTGAAGCCAAGTTGGGAAACGTAACGACCACAAAGCTCAGCTGCACCAACAGCAGTGTTCTCGTAGTGCGTGACGGTGTTCAAGCCGGTGGCGCCTTCTCCACCCTCCTTGTCTTGAATCTTGAGCAGGAATGCCTGTAGCTGCTTGAACACCCGACCGACCTCTTTCTTGTGAACTGACGTGAGGTTGAAGATTTCACGGAATGTACGAGGAACGTTGTTCTGACGGCATGCAATGAAAATGCAACCAGCAATGATGGCCTCTTGAGGCTTGCCCTTCAAGACTTTGTGCTTGTCGACAAGCTTGAAGATGTGCTTGGCCGCGTTGGACACGTTCTGACCCATGTTAATGGTCTCGCAGAGCGCCACAATCTCCTTGTAGCCCTGCATGAGATTCTTCTGTCCCTTGTCGACATTGGTGTTGTTTTGGGTTCTTGACAAAGCCTTGTGTGCCTTGGACTCAGAGAAGGCGACGCTGGTGGCTAACTGCTCGCCTTCAATGAACTCATCCTGAGGTCCACCGACACGGCTGGGGTCGTCACCACCTTGGTCGTCGTTGGCAAAAGTTCGCCACTCAGATCTTGTGTCGATGATGCGAGTACCAACAACAACTCCGCAGCTTTGGCACACCATATCTCCGCTAGAGAATTCCTCCACCAGGTTGGGGGGGATCTCCTTGCAGTCTGGACAACATAAAACGTTGTTCAAGTCCTCCTTGAACCCGCTGGCTCCATCTCCGCCAGTTGGCGGGAACATCTTGGCCTGGTACGGTTTCGCTGTGTAGATGTTGTTGACTTCGTCAAACACTTTTCGGGCTTTCTTTGCAACCTTATTCCGCCTTCGCAATTCAATCCGCTTCCTAGCAATAGCCCGACGGGTAGACTTTGCTTCTTCTTGCTTGAGTTCTTCGCAGGTCCAGAGACGATCGTTCACAAGCTGGAGGTATAGTGGAGAATGCACTTTGGCGGTGTGTGGAGCGAGAGAGAAGAGTGATGAAGGGAGAACTTGGGCGAGCGGTGAGATAACGGAGTTGGCCCTGGTCGATAGAGAGTGTATGCGCGTGATGCGTTTGTGTAATTGTTGGTGCGACTGTGTGTCACAAAGGAAAGATGCAATCGGAAAATCAAAGGCGAACGCTAGAGAGGAAAATTGGAAATATTAAGTAACAGAAGAATAGTCCTTCACCCGTATTGTCGGTGACGGAAGGTAGTTGTAGTTTGAGATGATTGAAATATCAGCTTCTAGATGAAGAGGCTGGAGCAGAAAACAGAAAATCCTGCCGGCCGACTGTTCTGGACCAGTGAAGGTGTCTGAGCGCTGCACAAACAACGTCAGAACAGCGAAAAGTCGGCGTGGAAGTGGTCGCTTGTGTTGAGCGAGTAGAGAATGTCGTGCAGATGTGGTTTTTGGCTGGTTAAAGCGAGCGCAGACCGACTTCTGGCGGCAAGAGGCTGAGGAAACAGAATGATGACGAGGAGAGGTTGAGAATGTGAGATTGGGGACCAAGGAGGCGGATTAGTACTTGCTGCCCTGCACTCCGCCCCGAAAGACCAGAATCAGGTGGAAGGCGAAACTTCCACTATGAGTCAGCCTGAATTATCAGGTCGAGGGCTGTGGGGCACTACATCACAGATACTTGGGTAAGCATTGTATAATGTGGGCGTTCTGCTGACTACTAGCCGAAATGGACAGTAGAGCGGAAGTACACAGTGCCCCTTTGACCTCACGCTAGAATTGAACCTCTTGTTGGGCGAGTATAGGCGAACCCTAAATTCAAGCATCACCGGATTTACGAACCTCTCGTGTTGTGCAAAGCAATTTTGCTTTTTTTACTTCGACATCTCACTCTACAATGTGTTGTTAACCTTCTGTGGACAGCCCTACCTATGATTCCAGGCGATTCCACCACCCGCCATTTCTCACTCTTGGGCCTCCAGACAATATATCCTCCTTTTCTTCGACCAGCGCTTAACAATTACTACAAAATTACGGTAGGCTTATAAATATCTTGCCTCTCTATATATCCATAGCTCGTAAGTACTAGGAAGAGAAAGAAGGGTAACTACAATCGTGGATACATTCACATTTTGACTTGCCTACCTACCTATGTAAAAGCCACCGCATACAGGGGGCACGCTTGAAAGGTTCAAACCTTCTGTATGGGTAGCAATTTCGCAGGCTGGCCCTGGGATCGGGCGAAGTCTACATAATGCGAGGCCTGGTCTACGCCGTGGGCACGAGCATTAAATATTTGTGCTTATATACCTTAAATTTGACCATCTATATTGCTTCAGGTAATCATAGCTTCTGGCTCCTTTCGTCCACCGACTTCCGGAGCAGTGCGATGACTTCGGCCGGGTCCTTTGCGCCAAACACGGCGCTGCCGGCCACGATGACATTGGCGCCAGCGTCGGCAGCTTGGTCGATGGTCCCGGGCCCGAGTCCACCGTCGACCTCGATATTCAACTCGGGATACCTCTTCCGTAGCTCTTGCACCTTGGGCAGCTCGGAGGCCATGAACTTTTGACCACCGAATCCGGGGTGAACTGTCATGACCAGGACCATCTGTAATTTATGTTAGCCTCAGTCTACTTTCGTATTCTTTAAGTGAACCTCAAAGATCCTGTTATCAACAGCCCCGAGAAGGGGGCTGGGGAGTTGAAAGGTTCATACATCTGGTCTCTCCTTCTCCTCGGGGTTTTCCAAAATCTCCCACAGCACATCCACGGGCGTATCTGGCTTGATAGCAATTCCCGCCAGGATGCCCTGGTCATGGATATATCGGATCAGCGCCTTGGGGCTTGTCTTCTCGTCGGTGTTTTGCTCGGGGCTCTCGGCGGCAGAGGAGAAGGCAGCCTCATAGTGGAAGCAGTACAGGTCGCAGCCAGCCTTCTTGAATTCCTTGACCCATTTCTTGGGCTTCACGAGAGATTGGACGAGCCAATTCGTTAGCCTTACGAACCCAAACCAACATTTTCATGACAAAGAGGGTCGATGGGGGCGGCATTGTGCGCTTCTACCTCTGCGATCATCATGTGGCAGTCAAAGGTGCCTCGGCCGTGGTTCTCGGTGGGCTTGTCAACGTGAGAGCGGATCTTTGCAACGACGGGCGCTCCGAAGGTGATGTTGGGCACGAAATGGCCATCCCTACACTGGCGCATGAGTTCATCGATATCCTTCTCATCCCCCTCTGCTCCCCTCCTTTCTAAGCCAGCTTGGAGCTGACTCTCGAAAGGACCTTCTCCAATGCGGGGCAGGAGCTCCTACATGATATCAACATGCAGCCAGTCGGCGCCCTGGTCCATTGTGCGGGCGCATTCTGCGCCGAGCTGGCCAAAGTCGGCCGACAGAATCGAGGGTGCAATAATGGCGTTGGGAGGCATCTTGGGCAAGCGAGGTATAGAGGTTACAAGTCGAACAAGTTGGCGGGTTCGCTGGCGGTCTTGCCTTGAATAAATTATGGATTCTCTCCAGGCTTTTGGCCCGCTGGAGGTGGTACTTTTCAGTGGAGTGATGTCAGCGGGGTTTGGTCTACAGTCGCCCGCACTGCTACTATTGGTGCTGCGATGCCGCAGCTCGAGACGCGGGCCAGCTCAAACAGAGTTGGAATAGTGGGATCGCGATGGACGGTTGTCACCCTTGTGGGGGCTGCTCGAGGACTGTTATTATTATAGGAACGGTATGTCCAAGTGCACAGTGCAAAGCCCTTTGTGACGTGTGGAATGCTTCCCATGTGAATAACTGCCAGGCAGTTCAGTTACTTTCTGGGGGCGGAACAGCCCCATCTGTGCAGGTGCCTACTGGCTGTATGTAGGCGGCATGCCAATGGTTTGTCACATCTTTGAATGAGAATTGCCCTGCACTCCCGATCAATTGGGAATGACGAGCAGGCGACAATGGAAATTCACCTTCAACAAAATAGAATGCGATGTTTCGAATACTACCAAAGCAGACACTTGGAAATGTACAGGCGTTGCGGTCTCCTGCTCTGACACAACCGCCCAGTTTAGAGGGCGCTTTCGGCCTCAGCGCCCTAGACCTGAGTCATACCCAACTGCGGATAGTACAGCAGCCAGCCCAATCAAAGCCTCATCTCACCCAGACGTCCGTACACTCATTCAAACGAACAGACCACCACACAGGCTGGACCTTCAATTGTCTGTGAACGCGCCTCGTCAACCGCAGGCCTCTCACCCTCATCTTTTGCTTGCTACTTGGCGATCCATCAAGATAACCGGCACCCACAATGTCCGCACCTCAAAGCAACCCCAGCGGGCAGGATCTGCCCCTGATCAATATCAAGCCATTGTTGTCCAAGCTTTGGCCCGTCCACGCAGAGGTATCCAGTGACGAGATCGCCAATGCCATCTCGCACTTCTTCACCAACCAGGTCAGCGAGGCCCAGACCGCCTCACTGCTGATGGCTCTTCACTTTACCCAGCTAGACTTCAAAGCAGAGGTTCTGGCCAAATGCGCGGCGTCGATGCGCAAGGCAGCCGAGACCATTGACTCGCAAACTCTCCGGGATGTGATTGAGAAACGGGGGAGAAAGGAGGGACAGTACAATGGTGGCTTGGTGAGAGACAGACCCTTCCACTTCTTTTCTTCCTCTTGCCCTTCACTTGGCGCACATATATACATATATAGTAGACAAGGTAAAAAGGGCATATGATTTGAGAATCAGTGGCTAACATTGCATCTCTCTGCTCGCCAGTGCGACATTGTTGGCACTGGAGGAGACTCCCACAACACGTTCAACATCAGCACCACGGCCTCCATCATCGCCTCATCGCTGCTCTTCATCTCCAAGCACGGAAACAAGGCCAGCACGTCAAAGTCGGGCAGCGCCGACCTGGTCAACCAGATGAAGCCCCGCCCCCCGGTCCTGAGCGCCGTGTCGCCGGCCAACATCCACAGGGTGTACTCGGAGACCAACTACGCCTTCCTCTTCGCGCCCCTCTTCCACACCGGCATGCGGTACGTCGCCCCCATCCGCCGGCAGCTGCCGTGGAGGACCATCTTCAACAACATCGGGCCTCTCTCCAACCCCGTCGAGGACCTGCTCGAGGCCCGCGTCATCGGCGTCGCCAGGAGGGACCTCGGCCCCGCCTTCGCCGAGGCCCTCCGGATCGCGGGCTGCAGGAAGGCCCTCGTCGTGTGCGGCGAGGAGGAGCTCGACGAGGTCAGCTGCGCCGGCCGCACCAACTGCTGGATGCTCAAGGACAGGACCCCCGGCGGCGAGACCTTTGTCGAGCACTTCCAGATCCACCCCGGCGACTTCGGCCTCAGCACCCACGCGCTCGACGAGGTCTCGAGCGGGAAGGAGCCGGAGGAGAACGCGGAGATTCTGCGGCGCATCCTCAACAACGAGTTCCCCGACGATGACCCCCTCCTGGAGTTTGTGCTCATCAACGTCTCCACCCTGTTCGTGGCCTCTGGGATCTGCGAGGCGGACACGAGCAACATGGGTCCCGGCGATGATGGGAATGTCATCCAGGAGCGCGGCCCAGCCGGCCAGCGCTGGAAGGAGGGCGTCAGACGTGCCCGCTGGGCTCTCAAGAGTGGTGAGGCTTGGAAGCAGTGGGAGGCCTTCGTCAATGTGACCAACGAGATTGGCGCAGCCTGAGGCAAACGTGGGTTGGGATGGAATCCAAGCTTGAGGTTTACGGAACGAAAAGGAGAGACGAAATGAAGTGAGATGTGGATGGTATTGAAAGGGGTAGTAGATATCTTTTTTTATCTCCCCGACTTTCAGATACATAGATCTACCAACAAATCCTATGCCAGAAGATGATGATTCCAGCCATCTAACGCCATATACTCGTTCCCGCGCTCAATAAAGGTGAATAAAAGAAACTGAAATCCCAGTCATTAACGCTCTCATTATTAGGGGTATCATTATATCTGCTCAAATCCAAGCCTGTCCTCTCAGCTGTTGTTCTTGCAAGGTAACCCGGCGCTGATGCTGCTCCCCTCCTCTTACTGGCGGGAATATCGAGTGGCGGGGAGGTGGTAACGTGGCAGAGCTGACTCTATGTGATCGAGGTTGACTTCCCGAATGGATCGGGTGCTGGGGGTGACTGGCCTGGATATCAACGGGCAAGAAGGAGGCACAGTCGGGTTTACTCGTGGGGGAGGGGTGGATAGGATGGCTGCGCAGCTCGGCCGTGGCGGGCGTCTGGACGCTCAACTCGCTGTTCTGGCTATCGCTGCGCCCATGGGATGTCTTCAGGCCCGGGTGGTTGACAAGAGACCGGGATCGGTTCCTCTGGAGGTTCGCCTCAAACTCCTTCCACTCATCCCGGAAGCTCCCTGCCGAATTAGAGCGGCTTGTGCGGACTTCGCGCTCGTCCTCTTCGTATTGGGGGAAGAGGCTGTTGTGAGTCTCTTGGGGGACGAGACTGTTGCGGCTCTCCTGGGGGAGAAGGCTGTTCCGGCTCTCAGCACGCGAGGACGTCCGGCTGGCGAGCGACTTCTGAATCATGGTTTGTCTCTGGAGCTCCTGGTCCTCGCTGATCCTAGTAACGTGGAACGTCGGCCGCTTCTTGACGGAGAGGTCAAACTCGGTGGTGGAATTGGGGGAGAGGGCCATCTGGGCGACCTGTCTGTACTTTCTGCGCTTAAAGTGCCGTACGATGAGGTAGACGGCGAGGCCCAGGAGAGCTGCTCCGGCAACTGCGATGAATACGACGAGACCGATTGATTTCGGAGAGTCCAGCGAGCTTAGATTTCTAGTTGCCAGACTGGCCACGAAGTTGTGTGTAGGGGCCATTTCTACGGTTGCGATATCCGATGATCGGTAGGTGGTGAGAGCGGTGTAAGTCCAATGGGAAGAAATCAATCACGTCCTCGGGGAGCCGTCCATCAATTACACCGTAATCGTGATATGAGATAAAGAAGAAAACGAAACGAGGCTGGCCTTGAAAGTGATATCGATGGCAAGGGCTATAGTGATGAATGGGCACAGCAAGGAGAGGTGGTGGAAGTCGAACTATACGCAAAGTCACCGTGTCAGCCTTTGGGCAGACTCAAGATTGTCAGAAACCTGGCAGCTGCCATTCTTTTGAACCCGCATGGAGGCTGCAGCCAGGCTGTTGGCAGCTCACTGGGGGCTAAATTTGGAGCGCGCGCTACGTATATCGGAAAGTGTGTGGGATACATGAAAGAAATGTCTGGCCCATGTCTCTGCCCATCAGTCCCCTCTTTCTGCATCGAGCTGCCTGTCTGCGTAGTATCACATCGCATGGGGAGGGGAAGCCGGTTAGGGGCCTTAGGGCCATGGATACGATACGCCGGGGTCTATAATAGGCAAACTGGCGTGCATTGGTCGGTCCGTCACTCTGCCTATTGGCGACAAAGTCGACGAGCTGGGGACACGGGACAGGGATGGCAGAAACATGGCGTTCACGGAAAGGCATTTGACTTCGTAGATGACGAGGCTGAGCAGGCCTAAACCCGCCTGGGGAAAGAGTGCGATGGATCACCCATGACGGCGGGGGTCCTGGACGATGCTGAAAGGTGCTGAACGCATAAGCAGCCAGTCACGACATGATCCGTGCTTGCGTATATGTCGTGTCGGTAGTTATCTACATATCATGCTCTAGCACCCGAATGTGTGGTATCCGCGGGAGGCATGGATGGGATGTGCTGTCTGGGGCGACTCCAGCATCCACCGTGGCCAATGTGCACCAACCAACATGGAACAGACTCTCCTCACCTCGCCTCACCTTAACCCTTTGTAGGTACGTAGCTCTTACACGCAAGCGGCCAACGAGCACAGGCTGGCTCATCATGCCATGTCGTACCTCTCGCCAAATGCCCTTCGCTACTCCCGGATATCGCCCTCCACATCCATCTAATCCTACAGAAGACGCCGAGAACACTGGCGCAAAAGACCAAGTTTTGGGTAACATTGGGATTATTATCACCACACACCGGCTGAAGCGGGGTCTATGCACTCTGGCATTGATTTTGACGGCCCCCAAACCTGTCCGTGGACATATCCATCCATACAGACATGCCTGGGTGGAGCTGGACCGTGAATCTTCACTTTTACCCGCGGGCGCCCGAGCATTGCGAGACAGCTCTAAGCCACCTCCCACATCGTCAGCACCGGATTGGGACAGTTATTGCGATGTGTCTGCTGCAGTATTATTCCCCCCCAGTCTGCGCACTCGATTTCGCATTCTTCTGTCTCACACATTATATCATAATATTATCAGATTCGCCGAAAGGATGGCAGGCAGCTGATCGCCCGTCGCCAGTCAGACATCAGATAATGTCTCTTCCTTCGGGTGCTGGCTGGTACAATGATCTGCCTACCTGGAAAGACATGTATGAGCGGCATCGGTGAGTGTTTGAACATGCAGCATGAGCCCTGAGATCGGCGCAGCAGCTTCTATGTTCTATGAATATACTGGAAATGCATAACGAAGGAGTTCTGTTGCATATCGTGCAAACTTATTCCCTCCAACTGCCAGCATTATCCCCGTCTCTCTACTGCCGCATATGCAAGCAGCAAATATTGCCCAGCCCAAGACCCGGGCGCAGAACCTGGGCTCAAAGGCCTTGGCACAGAAGCTTATTAGAACCCTGAGTCGGTCTTAAGATCGGGCAGGCATTTGAAATGCAACATGGAGATCCAAGTAGGGCATTGCCGCCGTCGATTCCAACGTAATAGCAGGTACTGTTGGTGATAGCCGTGCATTGAGGACAGGCCCACTGCCCCAGCGTCTAACCGCCTGCACCCAGTTCATCAAACATTCTACGACCAACAGCCAACAGGCTTGACGCTTCTGGCTCACAAGGCTGCGGATCACATTGGCGCCGTCGCAAGGCCCAGTCGATGTCGCAAACCCGAAGAAATGACCCTGTAAAAATCAAAAGCCCGAGCAGAGCAACGGCCGAGGTCCGGCGACAATCGCTGCTCCTCTTTAGCCTTCAATGCCAGCGGCTGTGGCTCTCCCCGTTGTCGCCTGTTCCGGCTACGCGCCCTGTAAGAGCCCTGTATCGGGCCGCCCAACAGCACCTGGTCCACCACCTCCACAAAACCACATCATGCCGCCGTCCGCTGCTCAAGGATCCCGGCGCTACGTACATGTAGTAAAGAGCCAATTTCCTTCCTACACTGCCCTTCCAAAGCCACAATGCTGATACCACGAGGTCCTGTTCTGTCGGCAAGGAATTGCAGGGCCTTGCGGTCTAAGTGCTTCCTGCCGGGCGTTGGAACCGCATCCAATGAGCACCGACGTGCCTTCTCCCGAAGTGCGCCTTGTGCCAGAAGCACGATCGACAATAAGCACGCATCGACTCCCTTGCCATTGGAAGGGTACCGTGTCTTGGATATGACCCGCGTTTTGGCAGGTGTATGGAAAGATTCCCGCCAGCCTAGGACATCTGTTTTCGTCGTACCAGAATCACTGACGGCGCCTCCTCATTCTCTCTAGCCATACTGTACGCAGATCCTTGGTGACCTCGGGTGAGCATATACTTTGGCAGCATTAAGCATGACCTTCATCCCACCTCTCTACCTATCCAGCGTGATTCTGATGTTAGCGAGCCATCTAGGGCTGAGGTAATCAAGATAGAGCATCCCGTCCGGGGAGATGATACCAGGGCATGGGGCCCGCCGTACGCTCCTTACAAGCCAGGTTCGGGTCTTGAAGGTCCAGGCGAGTCTGCCTATTTCTTAGGGGTGTGTTCTTGGCCTTTGTCTCACCCTCTGGACCCCACGCGTGGAGAGCTGCAGACAATCACGGCGATGTGGGCTGACGGCATCTCCTTGCCTTGTCGTTGCAGGTAAACCGGAATAAGAAATCCCTCGGCCTGTCCTTCCAGCATCCCCAGGGCGTGGAGATTCTTCACAAGCTTGCTGCCCAGTGCGATATCCTGGTGGAAAACTACCTGCCTGGCTCCTTGAAGAAGTACTCCATGGACTACGAATCGCTCCGCAAGATAAACCCGGCACTCATCTACACCTCCATCACGGGGTACGGCCAGACGGGCCCATACTCCAGCCGGGCTGGATACGATGTCATGGTCGAGGCCGAGTTCGGCCTGATGCACATCACGGGGAATCGGGAGGGGCCACCCGTCAAGGTCGGCGTTGCCGTCACCGATCTGACCACCGGGCTCTACGCCAGCAACAGCATCATGGCGTCCCTGCTTGGCAGAGCAAAGACGGGCAAGGGGCAGCACATTGATGTGGCACTGAGCGACTGCCAGACGGCAACTCTGGCTAACATTGCCAGCAGCTGTCTCATCAGTGGCAAAAGGGATTCCGGCCGCTGGGGCACAGCTCATCGTGAGTTTGCAGAGATGCCCTCCAAAAGTTCTTCAAATCTTACCCGGAGGAAATCTAACCCTCTTCCTTCTTCGGTCTAGCTTCAATCGTTCCTTATAGATCGTTCAAAACCAAAGACGGCGATATCCTGTTTGGTGGCGGCAACGACAGGCTCTTTGGAATCCTCTCAGACGGTCTAGGAAATCCCCAGTGGAAGGACGATCCGAAATTCAAAACCAACGCTGACAGAGTAGCCAACCGCCAAGAGCTCGAGGCTGATATTGAGCAGATATCCCAATCAAGAACGACGCAAGAATGGCTCGAAGTTTTTGAGGGCAAAGGCATGCCCTATGCAGCCGTCAACGACGTTCAGGACTCGCTAAACCATGACCACACCCGGGCTCGGGACATGGTCGTTGAATTCGACCACCCCAGCTGCGGCAAAATAAAAATGATCAATACTCCCGTCAAGTACTCGGAAATCCAGCCCAAGGTCCGAATGGCGCCGCCTCTGCTGGGCCAACACACCGATGAAATACTCGGGGGCCTTGGATTGGATGCATCTGAGATAGCCACGCTGAAAGAAGCCGCTGTCGTGAGTTAAATCCAACTTAGCAAATAAATATACATAATAGAAGTTATGTTCTCCAAATCTAAAAGAAAGAAAAATATAAAATAAAATTCTCCGCGTCCGAGGGTCTCGAATCTTTCAAACCAAGACGTAGTTCATCTGATTGGTGATCACGTGACCTGCACGTGCCTGATTCAACATCGTCCTATTCCTGCCTCATCTAAGGCTGAGTAAATTCGACCTCAATTCCAACGGTTTAAGTCGCCCATGAGGCAGTAATTTAGTGGAGGAGTGTTTCCTTTCTATTTTACGGACTCATCCGTTTCGAAATTCAATGCATTCCTCACTTTCCTAGTCGTCACTCCCTTTTCAATCTTCTCACCAGGATCACGCAACCTCGATTCGCCCGCCATGGATTCAACCCCGGGCAATCACAACTTTGGGGGTGACGTGGTGATGGATTCCACATCTGGTCACCCTCGGGATGTTTCTACCCCTCAACCCACCTCATTGAGGCCGGGAAATGAGGTCATCGCCACCCCTTTGGCAGACAGGACATCGCGCTCGCCGTCCCTAGCCTCACCCTACGTCCCCCAGTTCTCCGCCGCAACATCTTTTATTCTGAACAGGATGAAAAGCACAGGATCGAATTTCAACTCTACGCTGTCGGATCTTTCAACGGCGGTCGCGGAATCGGATAAGGATGCTTATGAGGAATTCAAAACGAAGTTAGTCCAGAGCATGAGCAAGGGAACCTCGCTACCAGAACCCCCGCCGCTATCGACCCCAAGCGAGCCATCCCTCCTCAAGAAGTCATTGCTGCATCCAAAAGCAGCCGATTCAGGCTCCTCAAGCCTCAAGAGGAAGCGAGAGTCGGAGCCAAGCGCTGAAGTGGACTTTGGCCAGAGCACGATGCCCTTCCCCTCCGCCTCCCAATCGCCCGGCCCTACTATGGGAGCCTCGAACGGCACCAAGCAGGAGTGTTACACGTGCCGCACCTCGGTCTCGTTTGAGGAGAACCAAGTCATCATTTGCCAAGTTTGCGGCATCGGGCGCCACCAACAATGCTGGTCTCCGCCAGTTCTGAGGGCTAGTTTAAAGAGAGCCACCTTCACATGCGAGCGATGCGAAACCACGAATGCCTCCCAGAACGGGGCGCCTGCGGGATATCGAGACCAGAGAACGGAAAAGGTTCGCCAAAAGCGCCTGGCCATGCTGCCCGCGGGGATCGTCCCGGTAAAGCCAGAGCTGGTGGGCTTTGCGGCCGGCGCGGCAACCGATCATGCTGTAAGCTTGCTGCTTCCCTTGACCATCCTTCTTTCTTCTGCTAACGCCACCTCTACAGCGCACGGAGTATTTCCAGAATATGAGGAAGACGGATCTTCTCAACATTCTGTCATTCTGCGACCAGCTCCAGCCCCAGCTGATCGTGGACATCATGGTCTCGGTCTCCAAGAAACACCCGAGCCTGCCTATATTTGCATCTCCTGACTGGCACGAGCCGTTCTCCGACCCTTCAGCCCCAGGCAAGGCCGCAAAACGAGGATCCGCTCGGTCCGGCCATGGCCGCAGCCTCCTCAATTCCAAGGCCAAGCAGAAGATCAAGAGCACCGGCAATGCCAAAAACGGGACGAAGAGACCGGCAAAGAAATCAGCCCCCGCCGTGGAAGATGCGCCGCTGCAACTCACTAACAATGAGGAGGATGCCCTCCCCCCGGCGTGGCCCAGAGCGGGACAGGGCTTGTACGCCAAGCTCGTGCCTGAGGTTGAGGATAGAAGTCTGCTCAAAGACGATAACGACGAAGGGGCATTCAGCCACTTCATGGTGAGTAACATGGGAAAACAAATTATCGAGCCTGTTTAAATAAGGCGATCCCCTTTCGGAGGAGACATATATTGTTGTGAAAAAAAGAAGCATTGATAGATATTTTCCTACTTCTGTCCGCCTAGGAGCAAATGAGATGGAATTCGCCATAGGTCGCCGGCTGTATTAATAGAGATAGAGGAGCTAGCATACACCATGTCCAACATCATATGATAAGAGATCATGGTCTATTGTATTGCGCTAGGCGTTAAATTGGAAGATAATACGACGTTCATATTCATAACCTTCGGCCAGTCTATCATGTCTCTCATCCGTATCATAGCCTGTCCTCATTATGTATGTGGCAAGAGGGAAATCAACTCTAAATAAATCGTAAATATCATGCTCCGGCTCAGACTTGCCTTTAAAGTCATCAAAGTCGTCGTGTGGTATAAATGAATATCCACCGGGTTCTCATGGAAGGGTTTGGCCGGGTGGGCAAAACACGCAATCACATGGTCCCAACGACTCAACAGTATCTGTTGATGGTCATCATTGCCGGTTGAAAATACGTTCATGCCCCGGGAGCACTTGCTCTCAGAGACACGCTTGGTCTAGAAAATAGTCTAGATTGTAATGGACGTAGTTCCCTTGACCCTTCCGTTTTCCATCTTGGCTGTCCTGGCCCCGAACTGGATCTGTAGAGGTGATCTTATTAGTATCGTCTTTCTGGTTTTAAGGTATGGGTGTTTGCATGGAGCTCGTACCGCTCTCTTCTTCTCCCCCGCCACGGACCCCAGGCCCAAACTTCTGGCCAGAAGCCGCAGCACCCTCTTCTCAGGGTCGAGAGTCGAATCCGATCCCGGAACATCGAAGTTGCACTTCTCCCAGGCAGGCAACTCAATCGCCCACCTGACGAGCCTCTCGTCAAGGTATGGAAACCTCGCTTCCCGGCCCCAATGGCTAAGAACACGGTCATCTCGCCCAAGGTTCCGCTTCCCGAGACGGCTGACGTCAAGCTTCAGCTCCTCCACCAGTCCTTGGTACCCCCTTTGGGCGTACGCTATGCTGTGGCGCTGGTAACCGCCAAATAGCTCGTCTGCCCCCAGTCCCGAGAGGAGGACCCGTGCGGTGGTTGTGTAAGGCTGCGGATCAGCCTGCCCGGGAACAGTAGCAGATCCTTGGCCCCGGCTTGCGAAATACAGAGCGCTTGCAATAGAGAGGTCCATCTCGGTATTGTGAGGGAACATGAGACCAATGACCTCACTTCTATGTGCGCAATACTCCTTATAGGGAACATTTATCTAATCAAATTTCGTTAGATGAAAGAGAACGTTTCCTTTAAGCTAAGAAAAAAAGACTCTCAAATACCGTTATAAAGCGCCATGTGCGCGTTGGGCAGCACTCTACAAGCTCGGAAAAAGCCTTCCTACCGGTGATTCGGTCGGGGCAAAGCTCATACAGCTCCTCTGCCGATTGTAATTTGAGATTTGAGGCAACTCTCGGGTTCTCGAACGCCACGTTGAGAAGATCGATAGGCTGCTCGGCCGGTATAGCGTCACTTGCGAGGCGGGCCAAAACGGTGCAGTCAAGGCCGCCAGAGAAGAGCACAGCAACCCTCGCATCAGAGGAAGAGCCGTGAGGTGGAATGGGCACATCCAGAACTCGTAAGTTCAGAGACTCCGTGAGCTGTTCGCGAAGCTCGCTGACGGGTCGAGATTCCTGAGAAAGCTCGCATGGCTCTGTGGGCAGGGAGGAATTAAAAAGGCCAATGCTTGACACCTGAAGAAGCGATTAGTGGCAAGAGGATGGCGAATCTCGGCAAGAAAACGATGTGCCTAGTACCTACCATAGCGTTGTCGGGATTCCACGGATATCTGATGGGGGTGAAAGTATCGGGGGAGGCAGCCTGGTCCAGCTGGATGGCGTAGCACCCATCAGCTTCGACCTCTACCCAGTCAGACGACAAGGCCTCAGCGACACTAGAGAGCATGAACGAGCTGCCATTCCTCAGGAGGAGCGATCGCCGACCCAGCCGGTCACGTCCATAATAGAGTCGTTTTGCCAGTTTGTCATAGTATATGAATGAGAAGGGGCCTTCAATATCTTGCAGTGCCTCTAGAACTGGGTCAAAGGACATGTCATGCTGTCCGTCTTGACGTTTGAGGCTTGCGGTTACGAGGAGGCTCAGCACCGCCTCGGTATCGTTCTGGCACACGGCCTGGCCATGTATTCTCCAGGCCTCGCCATTCCAACAGAGCACGGCTCCCGTGTCGGGATCCACCAGGGGTTGCTCAGCGACGTGATCCCCTCGGAGCGAAAGAACAGTAGACGTGAACGAAGCTGTCAGGGACAGGTCCGGGAGGTGCTGAGTGACATTTCCTGTGTGATCTGGGCCTCTTCGCTGGAGAAGACGCTCAATTTTCGTATCAAGAGGCGCTGGTGTATGTGGCGATACAACAGCGTGTATGCCGCACATCTTTTGTTATGTCTTGTAGGAGCAGCATCCCTTGTCATGGATGTGCACGGTGATATTAAAGCCAAAAAGAAAAAGTGGATAGCACCAACTTGGCAGGGAGTAAAAAGAAACTAAAAAAAAAACTCATCTTCTCCGGTACTGGGAATCGAACCCAGGGCTGCTCGGTGAGAGCGAGCGATGTTAGCCACTACACCATACCGGACTATGTAAGACATGCCCCTATTGTCATCTATGTAGCTCGCGCATGAAAATTGAGGTAGAGATGGTCGTCACACTCCCATCCACCTACCTCAGAGGATTATGAGTCAATCACAGAGAGAGAATCATTGTAGTAAGAAATAATTGTTCCAGTATTAATACACAGGTACAGATTGACTGAATAACCCATGTTCATCTTCTTATCCACTTGCTAATGCAGTTTGCCACTATAACTCTCAAAAAAAATCATTTCGCTAATTTTCCAACCATTCATGCGCCAAATCCTTCAACAGGTATATCCTCTAATACATTGCAAGAAAAACAACCAGATCCTTCATATACTCATGATATCCATGTATAGACTTTGAAAGGAGGGGCAAAAGCTGTGTAACCGAACTCAAACGCTGAAAATCCACGCAAGTACAAAATGAAACTAGGCTGATGGAACGCCGGCAGGTTGCGTTACCTGTCAGAAGGAGAGAAGCTCGATGTTGTCATGTTCATGAACTGAGGCTGCTGAGGACCTCGAACAGGCGAAGAGTTGCGCGAGGAGTGATCGGGCCATTGGTACTCGGCATTGTTGTTAGTGATACCAAAATATCCACCGTTTGTGTGAGCAGGGAGAGATGGCGTCACTGGCTGGCTTGAGCATCCAGTAGGGTTGGCGATATACGCCGGGACAGCCATTGGCACATTAGCAACATCGAGATTGTTGGAGTAAGTGGCCAGGCTGGGTGTGAGCAGATTGCCATCCGATGGCATCTGCATGTCGTAGACGGCATTGAGGCTGAAATATCCCTCCATGACGCCTGGAGTCGTTGGTGGTGTTCGCAGGGTAGGGTCATGGATTGTCATGTCAGGGACAGAAAACCTATCACTGGAGTCGGAGTCGGAGTCTGGGTGGGCAGAATCCAGGGACTGTGTCGTGATCACAACTGGGGTATCGGGAGTTGGTGGTGCGTTCGAGCCTTTGATTCCAGAAAGGACTGGGGATCGCTTGAGCTGAATTCCGTCACCAGTGGCCCTACTAAAGAAAGGGCTGCGGGGTGTGCCGACCGGCTTCTGAACACGCATAGGACCAGTGGACGAGGCGACTCGTCGGATCGAGTTGCAGACATCGACTCGTCGGCCCATTTCAACTCCAGTCTTCAGGAGGCCAGTTGAGTGGCTCCTTAAGCCACTGTTGATTGACAGAGGAGGAGGGCGGCGGTTTCGGCGGGCTGCGATATCAATGATCTGGGTGGGCTTCTGGGGGTTGGCGGTTTGAAAGTCACCAGAGGCTTGGAATGGCGCTCCAGCTGATCCGTTCAATTGGCTCATATAATAGCCAGATTCGGAGCCACCGGCCGAGAGCATAAACTCTTGCTCGTGGCTGTCGGAGAGGGCATTGGGGGAGAGTTCGTTGTCGGCCAGTAATTCGGAATTTCCCATCTGGCCATACTGGGCAGAAGCAACATCGTCATATCCGGGCTCTTGCTTGACAGTGAGCTCGGGAGAAAGCTGGGGAGACAGCTCTGTGCTTGGAAGAATGACACTGCTGTCGGACACAGGAGTTTCCTTGGCCTGGAAGAGCGAGGCAGGGCTGGAAGAGCCATCTGGAGTTCCAGTGTGTGAGCGGGATGGGGCCGTCTGTGTGCTTGGGAATGGCGCGCTTGAAGCGACAAGATCGCTCTTGCGGTGCGCAGCCGAGTCGCCAGATTCCGGCTGGGACGGATCTTGCTCAAGCTTCTGTCTGGCCTCATATTCGCGGATGTTCTTCTCCTTCTTCTCACGAGCACGTCGGTTCTGGAACCAATTCTAAGACAAACAGGGTTAGCACAGGTTCATATGGCGTCGCCGAGGTATGCGCGCAACGGCGAAAAGTCACTAACATTAATACGGGCGTTGTCGACCCTCATTGACTCAGCCAATCCCTTCTTGACGGTGCTGTTAGGCTTGTGGTTTTTCTGAAACTCAGCCTCCAAAAGCTCAACCTCCTCCTTGGAAAGACGAGGCTTAGACTCGGTGGTGCGCGACATCTGGTGATTGTGGACAAGGTGGTGGTGGTGGTGGGTCTGGTAGGCCTCCATTGAGTCGGCGAGGTATGAGGAGTAGTTGTTGCTATACTGAGGATAGCCAGAAAACGGGTCGTTGACCTCGGGGGTATAGGCCCAAGATGGCCATTGCGGCTGGGTGTATGAGCTCATCGTAGGCAGGTCGGATCGCAAGAGCACAATGCAGTCTTTCGAATCAGGAAATGGGCGCAAAGCAGAGAATTCGATCAAGAGAGGGTCCAAAAGAATACCGATGTTCGTTGTTGGTGTTGTGTGTAAGCGAGCGACATACAATTAGAGATGAGCCAGTCGGGTGTGGTAGCAGATTAAAAGCAAGAGAAAGCAGGCAGAAAAGAGTGTCCTTGTGTTGATAGTGAAGCCAAAGACATCAAGAGCAGGCTCTTGGAGGAGTCTTATTAATATGCCAGATTCGTCTTCGAGGGTTGCTCACGAAAAGGGTGAGTGATGCGAAGTAGTGCAGCAGCACAGAGAAGCGAGGGTTGGAGGAGCGTTGAGACACCACCCACTTCAACTGACGGGTGGGATGGTAGATGACGATGGTGAAGGGGGGGGAGATCACTCGTCAATGGTCGTGGCCAAGGGCACTGGAAGGGATAGGGAGACGAGCTCAAATAAGTATGAGCAGGACGAAGGGTGAAGATGGTAGAAGAAGGGAAGGCACGGATGAGGAAGGACACGATGGGATGATGGCGTATGTTTGTAGGTTTTGTCCCGCTGGCCTCCTCAGACCAATCTAACTACCCCCCGGCATTCATGTAAGTGCTGATGGATGGATGGCCATATGGACGACCCGCCATCTTGGTGCGGTAGGGCAAGAGAGCGTCTGTGCGATGGCGTGTGATGTCGTCTCTTGCGGCTGGCCAGCTGGGGGTGAAGCGGGCAACGCGATCCATCGGAGCAGCAAGACGCCCCCCATCTCCCTGCCAGAAGCGTGGGCACTAACACCCAATGGGAAGCGAAGCTGGCGACAACGTTGTGGCTCTGGGGTCGCAGCACACGAGGAGACTTGCGTCGACTTGAACCTCTCCTCAGCCCGGGCGAGGGTCTTCGTGCTCAGGGACAGGGGGACGCCAGGCCCGCCCAGCCTGGCCCGGCCCAGTCCAGTCCAAGGACCAACCTAGGGCCAGGGTGCCATCTGCACAAGCGGTCGCAGTCATCCCTCTGGACCTACTCTGGGTGTGCCCTCCAGCTGCCAACACTCGGAGCCAGGGCCAGTCCAAACAGCCAGGGCGCTGGCGAGTGGAGGGTCCAGCCTGGCGCCAGGACAGGCTGGGCTTGGTGGGTGGTGCGTGAGCTGCAAGGCAAAGACGGTGGCCCTGGGCTCCTCCGTCAAGGTGGCGCCAGCGTCTGCCCATTGGTGACACCCCCTCAGGTCCCAGTGGGCCAGCGAGGTGCCCTGGGCTGACACCCACCTCCCTTGGAGCCCACCCTGCCCAGGGGGTTCCACAGGCTGGCGCAGGGGCCAGGGCAGAAGCAGCGTCGACGCCGAAGGGGGGGGCCCAGCTGAGGTCTCGGAGCACTCGCGCCCAGCACAGGCAGCAGGGTACAGAGATACACAGATGGTCTAGAGCCCAAAGGCAGGCTTTTTTTATGGAGTTCCGACCTCTGGGCCGGTGCAACCACAACTGCTGCCCCGCACCAGCGATGCGATGGGTGCTGATGTATCTTGCTGTACTGGTCGAAAGAGGCCGTTGGTTTCCAACCAGGGAAACCAGTTGCCATCCAACTCCAGCAGAGGGTGCCGCTCTGGGACAGTCCAAGGCGAGCCACCTTCCTTTGGGAGACGACCGAGAAATTCACCATCGCCTATCAGAGGTTGGCCTGCATTTCCCTATTCATCCGTGGGGCTGCCCAAATAGAGTTGGCAATGTGTGATTGTGCGAGATGAGGTGAGAAGCTGGGCTCCGTTAGCCTCTGCCCGTCATCAAATGCCCAGGCCCCCAGTGATCCCGCTCGAGCTGGGCAGATAGCTGCAACGTTGGGTAGGTACTTGGCAAAAAAGCAATCAGTGACAGACAATGCAGTTCAGCTGGCTTGTGTTTGCTACTATTCCTCCATTCAGCCAAATGTCTGTCAACAAGGGCTTACTCTGCTTGACCCGACGCATTATTTACCAATCTCTTGTCGAAAACACACCATAGGGCTAGAAGAGAGTTTATCTCAATACTTAGTATATCATCGGACAGATTGAGGATAGCTACACGGCTGCCTGTCTACCTGAATGATGACATCCCTGTACATCCCCAAGTTCTGACTTGAGAAGGAATAGGGCAGGCTGCTTGCTTTCAATTGGGTTCCACGAGGGTGATTACAGGTGCAGTTCAGCGCGCCACTAAACGCAGATTACACTTCGTGCCGTCTCTCTTTTGGGAACACGGCACACGCTTGTACATGCTGCTGCAGCCAGGTACAGGTCGTGTAAAGAGATGGGGGAGGAGGATGCTTGGGACCTGAAGGACGCTCAGTTCACGACCCCGAAGACGATCGGCCGCCCGTACCTGCTGTGTTGTTGATGAAGTGGAATCCGGACAGGGATGCATGGCGTGGCAGAGGACCAGGGCATCTGCATGCGAGATACCTGGAGGTACTTGCGCATGTGGAAGCCGGGATTCGAGCCGGATAATCCCATCCTTCCCCACCACCCACCGTCCAGCGGTTCTGCAGTCGTGAGCTGACAGAACTCCCAAAATCACCACACCCACCGCCTGCCGTCACGACTGAGAGAGACACAGGCGGGTGCTCTTGCCGCCACCTCCGTCGCACACACCTCCATGTACGTAGGAAGGAAGAACGCTGCATCACCACTTCCCCAAAGTCAGCCGACCGTCCACACTTACCTGCCTGTTTGACCAGCGGTTCCTGGGGCGAGCGTGGATGGATTGGCCGACAGCTCATGCACATCTCAACTTCTCACCCATTTCGGTCTTCTTTTCTCCTAGGCCTGGATCCCCAATCGGTCTAAACGACTTTGCTTTTCCCACCTATCCAGCATGTTGTCAATGTAAATGAGGAGGACTGCTCCGGATGCTCCCTACCCACTCTACACAATGCCATGCTCCTCCTGCCCTCTTTTTTTTTCTTTTCTTTTCTTCTTGGTATCCTCCTCTGCATTGACCCAGCACTGGAATTGTGGCATAGCTTAATTTCTTGGTTTGACGAGTCAGGAGCAACAAAGGGCGCCTTGAAAGGGGCGCGAACAAAAAAGAAGCGAGAATGGTTAATTGCCACGGCATCTTCCGCCAAGCTCACCCAGATGTGTCTCGTTTCGGTATCATCGGTTCCTAGCGGTGCACCCATCCATCGCCTAGTACTACTTGTGCAAATCATCACTTCCATCTTGGTCTTGGTCTTCATCCATACCACCACACTACGTCGAAAACACAAGATTTGTGTCGTCATAGAGGCAGAAGGAGAGAGAGGCCAACGGAATCCGAGCACGAGCAGTGTGCGTGTGCGTGAGCAATCCCGTATTAGTGCCTGCACATTGGGCTCCAGCCAGCACAATTCGGGGCCACCAGGGTGTCGGAGCGGCACAGGTCCTTGGCCATGCAGGCTGGTCTTGGGTGGGCATTGTACATCCATTGCTCGAGGTACCTCCACGGACCTCAAAGTCCCCGCACGTAGCACCCCATCCCATCTTCTGCTCTGAAGCGTGCAGCCACCTCCCAAGGTTACCCTGACGAGAAGTTGGTATGATGGGCCCAAGGGTTGTCGGCAGTAGCCGTTGTCCGTGCAGTAGTCATCAATGCTGAATAAGATATTGGGCATGTTGCATTAATATGATAGATCGGAATGAAACGAGATGCAATATTTCCTCTGGAATCTCTGCTTCTCCATCTAATGATCCAGATTCCAGGGCATGACAAGGAAAACCGCTGCTTCCCTTTGCTTTTGGGGGCGACCGTGCGTGCCAAGGAAATCGGCGCATGCTGCTGAACCAACGCAGCGACGGACATACGCAAGACCACGAAGGGAAATGTCCTCCCCCTCCCCTTCCTAGGCGACGACAGCACAGCCCCTCCTCTGCTTGGTGGAAAAGACAAAGGCCAACCTTGCCTTGCAGCCAAGGATCACAGCGCATAGGCGCCTTCGGTGCAACCTCTCCAGAAACCCATATGCAACTTGCTTGCCATCAGGTCGATCCTACCTTACTTACTCCACGTGCTCGGATGTTCTCCGTGGGTCCGCGCCGCGATAGCCAGCAAGACGGCTCACTGGCGCTTTGCAAGGATGGATCAAGATAAGTGCGTGTGAATTGTAGGGCCCTGTGCACACCATGCAGATTAGGACTTGTGGGGCAGCTCCCCTGCCAGCCGAACCCAATTGGCCAAGGACCGGTCTGGACTCTAGCAGCTCTCCCAGTCCCCGAAGGGCTAGAGGGCTACTGGTGAGATCCGATTCGATGAGACAACATGCGTGTTGATTTCTGAGCCAGGCTGCCTTGGCTGGGCTGCCTCTCACAGCCTGATGTCTCAATCTCAAATTCCATACAGACCACAGCCCATTAGGTTTGTCGCAGGTGAATGTCTTTGCCTCGTGGATCTAGGTGCCGCGTGCCGCTGGAAATGTCTCTTCTGGCTCTTCAGCTCAGAGCCTGGGTGAGTCTGATCGCTTGGCCCAGACCGGGGTGCAACAAGAAGGCAGGTATCAAGAAAGACGTGCATGGTGCACCGGACGTGCGCCGCACCATGGTCCCCGTCCACCCACGGGCACCTGGCGGTACGAGTCAAATTCACCGACTCCCACGCGTCGCGCGCGTTGCGAGCTCCGTCGTCGAATTCCCGCAACACCAAAACAACAAAGGCCACTAAGTTGGGAAGATCAAGGCCTAGATTGAGGGGTGGGATAAGGTAGGTAGAGTCCGGAACCGACGAGTGCATGAGTGTGTGGCTCCCTCAAGACAGCATCAATCCGAGAGGTGAAAATTCCGCTCAGGGTTCTCCGTTCGAAGATCTGTCGATCCTCTCTCATGTGTTCGCTAGTTTAGTTTTATTCTATTTTTCCTGGCACCTGCGAAGCATGTCGTGCACTGCTGGTACAACGTACATTCCTGAGATACGATGCGGTACATGGCCGGGCCCCTTCTGTACCCCGAGCCGGTCGCGCTCGTCCCAGGTGGCACCGTGGCACAG